TCCATCTGTCGTTGTCTGTCCTGTCGCGCTAACTGACCTTGTCTGCCGAACTCACTTTCCCCTCGGTTTCTTTCGTCCGACGACGGGTTGGTGTCACCAACTTGAAAATTCACAAGTACAACTCGATTTTCCGAAGAGCCGTATTCTTTTCCTTTACACCACCTCAACATGCGCACCACGTCAGTTATTAAAAGGTATATTTATACATATATATGAAGGCACAAACTTTTTTAGGTAACTATTTTACGTTGGTTCCCCAGGTCGTTGTCAGACTTGAGTAAATGTGCAAAAAGCAAATACTATTTAAAATGTGCTGAAAAATCAACATTCATTTGATGTTCGTCCCAGTAAGCAGCCGCGGTTTATTTCATTCCGCATTGATTGGCTCTCGTCTCTTCCACCTTTTCCTGAGACTTCTGTACATGGCATTTAAATAAATGTGCTGATTGACGCACGATTCATCAATGTGCATGGTTTCAAGAAAATCTCAGCCTTTTTTGGACGGTGCGAGTTTTGTCCCATGCGAAGGTGTGCCCAGTATCAAGGGTCTGCATGGCCATTTGAGACAGATGGTCTCGCCTCTTAACTGCCCGCCGATGTTTGTGGATGCGTGTAGATGCAAATTTTCCCTCTTGGCCACATTATACGGCATTACAGTCATCACAGGGGATCTTATAGAAGACGTTTTTCTCACCAAGCTAGCCACCATACTCCTTAGGGTGTACAGGCTGAGTGCGTAAAGTAGTCGTCGGCTTGTGCGCCACTTTTATCTGGTGTTTCCTCAAGAGTCTTTCAATAAGCTCAAACATTCGTGATGTAGGGGAGGATTCACCAAGCATTTACTCTTGGCGCTTAGTTGGAATTATCTAGTTCCTTTGCTTCCATATCTTACAGTCTCAAACATCGACATACGAAATCTCTAGGATAACCGATCTGCGAAAATAATTCGAACATGTAATTAAGCTCGACTTGGGAACTTTTTAGTCATGGCAAGGTGTTTTTGCTCGATGTAGCAGACTATTGGCAGTACTCTGCTTGTAAGGAATTAGGCTGTTTCGCACTCATAGTGTAGTTACTTCCATCTATGTTTCTTTGCGTTAAACGGACGTGTGTAATGTTCCATCAGCCTTTCGATGCACGACAACATCCAGAAATGGGAGTTTACCGTCGACTTCTTTTTCAGGCATGCATTTAATTCTCGAAATGGATAAATTTATGGTGTTTGGAGTGTTTCTAGTTGATCCTTTTTAACGACAACAAATGTGTCGTCTACATATTGTGCCCATAGCTTAGAGTTAACTAATGGAAGAGCTGACGATTCCAGTTTCTACATTCTCATCTTGGAAAGAAAGACTAATATAGGTGATCCCGTTGGATCTCCTTTTAGTTGCTGATAACATTGGTGGTCGAACGAAAAATTGGTTTCTAAACAGAGGTTCATGAGTTAGAGTAAGATGGCTACGGGAACATCCGTGTCGTAGGACTTAAAAAGTTCATCTATGCATTGCACTGCAAAATCTAGTGATATGGATGTGAATAAGGAAGCGATATCAAAGAAGACCATTACCTCATCAGCGAAAATTATTCTCATCTTCTCTAGAAACTCCGTAGATTTCTGAATGGACGTTTCACAATCTCTCGATAGGTCTTCACAGAAACTGAAGAGAAGGTATTTTCAAACGAAGGAAAAACAATCACTCTGGTTCGTATCACTTGGACTTCCTTGCAAGCTTGGAATTCATCATATCGACAGTAGACCTTACGGAAGATGAACAGTTTGCAGTCCGAAACAGTACTGCACGAGCCTTAAAAGGTCGGGACCTTTGGCATAAACCTTATACGGCCGCAGTAGTGAGACTCTTTGCGTCTCTAGAACAAGAGCGTTTCGAAAATTGTGTATAATTAGTAGACGGCGATCGAAAGGGGAAATGAGAAGACTCTTTTCTTACGCCGACATGCCAGAGGGCTGTTTGACAAGGGCGGGAGGTGAAAAATCGTAGTCTTGGGACCGTTTTTATTGGATATGCGCGTTTCTCAACAACTAGCCGTTAAATATCGACTTAAAAACGCCGCATTAAACAGAACAGGGTGCAAAACGGACGTGCATTATGCGGTGCTGGAGACTTGCTACCTCCAACACTTTGACCGATGAACATTCACGGCCCCCCCCCCCCTTCATTCGGGATCGTCGCACTTGGTGTGATCACTGCTTGATGGCTGACATTCGAGTTGATAATTGCTGCAATTTCATCACGTGCGTTGGATGTTGGCGTGATAATTGCTCGACCATCTGACGCATCGACCCCGGTGTTGGGAAAAGTGTTCACCCCTGCCCTCCCCGCATGGCTTGTTACTCCGCCTAGGCGAAGTTTTAGCACGAAGTATGGAGTCGGAAGATCGTTGCACTTGTTGATGGACTGGGGACCAGTAAACCATGATTCCAGTAGCTCCCGGCTCACGCGGTTGTCAACTCTTGCGAGAATTTCGGCCTCAGTGAATTTGAATGTGTGGCCGGATCTCGTCGAATGAGTCGCAACTTGAGAGCTGGCGTCATTTCTGCGCACCGCTGCGGCGTGTTCGGCCATTAGCGTTTGGAGTTGTCTTCCGGTTTCTCCGACGTAGTCGCCTAGGCGGAGTAACAAGCCATGCGGGGAGCGCAGAGATGAACACTGTTCCCAACACCGGGGTCGGTGCGTCAGATGATCGAGCAAGCATCAAGCCAACATCCAACGCACGTGATGAAATTGCAGCAATTATCGACTCGAATGTCGGCCATCAAGCAATGATCACACCATGTGCGACGATCCCGGATGAAGGGGGGAGCCGTGAATATTCATAGGTATGCGGTAGCATGGCTACTGCATCCTATAAATACCGCAGCCCCTTTTGCAACAAACACCCGTTTCTGCTTTTTTTGTCTCTGGTGATGGATTCGAGTAGGAATCCGAAACGTCAAGCTAATAAAGCTCTTGTCCCGACGATCGTGTGTCCTTCTTCAAGACTACTTCCTGGGACTCGTCTCTTCGCTTCTATTGACTTTGACCGATGTTCCTACTACATGTTATGACTTATATTTGGCAGTGATACAAAAGATGGACGGCGATCACAGTGTGGAATCAGAACGTCTGACAACTGAGGTCTAGTACTCAGATGCTAACATCATCAACAGGTATCTAAACCTTCCTGTGGCCTATAAAGTCCTACTTCGATAAATACATCATGACCTGGCTAAGACGGTCACATGGAGTTTAAAAATACCGTGTAAATACGACCCGACGACTAATCCACCGAAAGAGGAGCACATGCGTAACTGACACCGATTGGGGTGACGACACACAAGGCAGGAGGCCGCCAAAATTCAAAAAGGCAGCGAAAGGGGAGGACAACTGATCAACCCAAGGCCATCCAACTCGGCCGTTTAGTTAAAATTTCGGTCGAGTCTTTTTTCACAAAACACGTTAATAATGGAGAGCCAGTCAAACCCTCTTAAACGCTAGTCGTGCAATTCTTCTGATCCAGGGCCGTTGGAGAAGAAACACTGAGGCGGGAGGGGAACAATCGTGGTCTTTTGACCATTTTTTGGATGTGTGAGTGCTTCAACAACTAGCGACTAGATATCGATTTAAAGACGCCACACTACACAGAAAAGGGGCCAAAACGGACGTGCGTTAAGCGACGTAAAAAATGTTTTGCTACTACAACCACTTTGTCTGATGTCGCCCTCACTTCTGTTATTGACAGAAAGGTGTGAGGAGATCACGAGACACGGAATGTGCTCCGTCCACCGTAAAATAAATAAGAGAACGGAGAAAATACAGCGCCTAGGAAATTTGTCAGTTGTGGTGGTAGGAAAGTTACCTGGACTGGCTCTCAATTTAGCCACGTATAAACTCCAACCAGTTCAAGGAGGAGGTGCAGGGCTCTACCTCCTGAGAGTTGAGGCGTCAACCTGCTTACGGTCAGTGTAGATGGAGACTCAGACCAAGATAACAAATACGCGTAAACCAATCTATAATTTCCTTGATCTTGCCTTGCTTTTGGGTTTGCTGGTTGTAAAATAAGTATAGTAGTTGGAATGTTTTAGCAGCCAATTGCCGTTATGACACGAAGCAAAGGGCAGAAGGTGAAAGAACTCTTGAGATGCAGTAACAACAACTTTATTTTGCACGCCGAACTCATATGGGAGTGCGGATCCCCGTTAGCAACCTCTTCCACCTCTGTAAAAACAGCTTATTAGTCAATGGCAAGGAGTCCTATCTCGTATTTCTTGAACGTTGTAATAAAGTCATGCGATGGTTCGGTTTTCATGAACGGGATCACGCGCTCCAGGCGGCCGTCGATCCTGTTGGGACGTTGAAGACCCAGCAAGGCACAGATGAAGGGATAAATGTCAATCTGTTCGAACTGTTGAAGTCCCGCGAGAACCTTGATGTCAGGACCGCTCGCAACCATGAAGGGATGCATTCTTCTGTCTTCGTTGTCGTAGCCGTGATTGCCTCTTGGCGCTGTTTAAAAAAACGAAAAAACGGCACTTTTAGCAGCTCATTTTTGATGCTTTATTGGGCTTGCAGTAGGCTAAAACTTCTGTGAGAATAGTAAACATTTTTAATGCTTGAGTTTCCTAACTGGATAATTTGAAATCCCCTTAAAGTAGAGTCAGTATTGTGGAGACCTATGGGAGAAGTAAATAGGGGCGATTCCTACTGTGGCTGTAAACAAGCCTTGCTGTTTGCAGTTTCTATTCGGACGCGATATCCTAGGCTGCTGCTCGTGCGGATTTTAATTTATCAGCAAAAACAGAACCGCATGCAACGTGAACCCGCAGGGTAATATTGCGTGTTAGTAGTAAAATCAAGGGTAAAATATCTGTGTTCAAGCTGCGTCCAGAATGCCATACTGGTTTTCCTCGAAGAAGACTTAGGTCTTACAAACTCCCAGAATATCAGTTAGTTCGTAAGAAAACTACTGCATTCCCAAAAGGCGTCGGGATATCCGTTAGGTTGTTTCAGTAAAAAGAAATGATGAAAATCGTAGAACACGAACTGAGGACTGGAGGACACTGATCCTCCTATCTTGACAACAGTGGTATCACAAGCTGGAAACGGCAAAGGACTGTTAGACGAGATAACGGACCAAAAGTAATCTTAGGAGACGTACATGGACAGAACCTTACTGGGTACCTGTTAAGGACTAGTTTATAGATGGCTTGAAAAAACGTTATTCCTTTACAGTATGTATTGTATACGCCTATTTTCATAGATCCCTTAGCAGCCACCTAAATACACAAGCTCTTTACCAGGTGCCTTGGATTCCTTAAGTTTAAAAGACCCCATGCGGGTTTGGAACACTGGTTATAGAAAGAGCCCACTCTGTGGGATCCGAGCCAGATGTGACGGCCGCAAATTCGGCCACGTCAGCCTCCATTGTTGTTGTTGACTAAAATCCTGATCATCTGCCCTGTGGACTAGGGCATGTTAATTGGAGCACCAAGGTGCGGATCCGTCCAAGCCATCCACCTGCGCCCCCCACCCCTCACTTCCGGTTTTCTTGACCATGTCTTGACACCGAGCCTAGGTGGGGGAGGAGGAGGGAGTGCGGTAGATGCTGCAAAAGTCTGCATTCACTGCAAAATAAATCGCGCGCAAGTCACTGTGCCTGTTCCCACCATGCTGTGGAGCACACTGTGAGCATCGTCGGATGCGATGGTCGAACTGTCATGTTGTCTGCAATGTACTAAGAAGGAACAGACTGTAATCTATTCACTAATGTTCCGGACTTTGAATCTATATATCCCCTTAAAGTAGTGTCAGTATTGTGGAGACCCATGGGAGAAGTAAGTAGGGATGATTTTAACCTGGGCTGCGAACAAGCCTTGCTGTTTGCAGTTTTTGTTCGGATACGATATCCTAGACTACTTGCTTGGAAGTGCTGCTCGAACGGATTTTAATTTATCAGCAACAAAACATACCTGCCCGTAAGGCGGACCTGCAGGGTTCTATTGCGTATAAGTAACAAAGAAGGGTAGAACAACTGCGTCCAAGCTGCATCCAGAATGCTATGCTGGTTTTCCTAGAAGAAGTCATAGGTCTTACAAACGCCCGGAATATTAGGCAACTCTTAAGAGCAAACTACAACATCCCCAAAATGCATCGCGACATCCGTTATTTTGCTTCAGTGAAAAGTAAGAAATGATGAGAATCGCAGAACACGAACTGAGGACTGGAGGACACTGACCCTCCTATCTTGCCAACAGTGGTGTCACAAGCTGGAAACGGTAAACGACTGTTAGACGAGATAACGGTCCACCAATAATCTTAGGAGACGTACATGGACAGAACGTTACTGGGTTCCTTTTAAGGACTAGTTTATAGATGGCTTGAAAAAACGTTATTCCTTTACAGTATGTATTGTATTCGCCTATTTCCATAGATCCCTTAGCAGCCACCTAAATACACAAGCTCTTTACCAGGTGCCTTGGATTCCTTAAGTTTAAAAGACCCCATGCGGGTTTGGAACACTGGTTATAGAAAGAGCCCACTCTGTGGGATCCGAGCCAGATTCGGCCGCGCCAGCCCCCTTTGTTGTTGTTGACTGAAATCCAGATCATCTGCTCTGTGGACCAGGATGTGTGAAGTGGAACACCAAGGTGCGTGTTCGGCCCTGCCAGTCACCTGCGCCCCCCTCCCTGCTTCCGGTTTTCTTGACCATGTCTTGACACCGAGCCCAGGTGGGGGAGCCGGAGGGAGTGCTGTAGATGCTGCAAAAGTCTGCATTCACTGCAAAATAAATCGCGCACAAGTCACCGTGCCTGCTCCCACCATGCTGTGGAGCACACGGTGGACATCGTCAGATGCGGCGGTCGAACTGTCATGTTGTCTGCAATGTATTTAGAAGGAACAGACTGTAATCTATTTATTAACGTTCCGAACTGTGGATTTACATATCCCCTTAAAGTAGTGTCAGTATTGTGGAGACCTATGGGAGAAGTAATTAGGGACGATTTTAACCTGGGCTGTGAAGAAGCCTTGCTGTTTGCAGTTTTTGTTCGGACACCATATCCTAGACTACTTGCTTGGAAGTGCTGCCCGAACGGATTTTAATTTATCAGCAACAAAACATACCTGCACGAAAGGTGGACCTGCAGGGTACTATTGCGTATAAGTAAAAAAGAAGGGTAGAACAACTGCGTCCAAGCTGCATCCAGAATGCTATGCTGGTTTTCCTAGAAGAAGCCATAGGTCTTACAAACGCCCGGAATATAAGGCAGCTCTTAAGAGCAAACTACAACATCCCCAAAATGCGTCGGGGCATCCGTTAGGTTGTTTCAGTGAAAAGAAAGAAATTATGAAAATCGCATAAAACAATCTGAGGACTGAAAGACACTGACCTTGCTATCTTGCCAACACTGATGTTACAAGCTGGAAACGGTAATGAACTGTTAGACGAGATAACGGTCCACCAATAATCTTAGGAGACGTACATGGACAGAAACTTACTGGGTACCTGTTAAGAACTAGTTTATAGATGGCTTGAAAAAACGTTTATCCTTTGCAGTATGCATTGCATACGCCTACTTCCATAGATCTCTTACCAGCCACCGAAATACACATGCTCTTTACCAGGCGCCTTAAATTCCTTCAGTTTAAAAGACCCCATGCAGGCTCGGAACGCTGGTTCTAGAAAGAGCCCTGCTATATTTAATTATCCTATGTTGTTTGCTCCCACATCGTGCGATCTGAGCCAAGTATGACGGCACGCCTCTGTGCGACATCGGCCGCGCCAGCCCCTTTTGTTGTTGTTGACTAAAATCCTCATCATCTGCTCTGTGGACTAGGGGGTGTGAAATGGAGCACCAAGGTGCGGATCCGTCCAAGCCATCCACCTGCGCCCCAACCACTTCCGGTTTTCTTGACCATGTCTTGACACCGAGCCCAGGTGGGGGAAGGAGAGGAGAGTGCGGTAGATGCTGTGCAAGTCTGCATTCACTGCAAAATAAATCGCGCACAAGTCACTGCGCCTGCTCCCACCATGCTGTGGAGCACACGGTGAGCATCGTCGGATGCGATGGTCGAACTGTCATGTTGTCTGCAATGTATTTAGAAGGAACAGACTGTAATCTATTTACTTACGTTCCGAACTTTGAATTTACATGTCAGATCTGAAGAAAGAATGTCGAGAGTGCTGGGGAACAGCCGGATGACATAGCGGACCAGAAGCATACTCCCTATCTGACATGCGTTGGCTTGCAGACGATCTGAACGTGTTTTGTTCATTTATATTGTACTTTTCACATGCCCATTTGTTGAGAGCCCCTATCAGGCACAGAACGACTCGCGAACCTTAGGTGGCGTCTTCTATTCCTTCAAGGGGAAAGACTCAACGAACTGGGGACTCTGCACCTCAAAAAAACTTACCCTTCTCGGTATCATATTGTTTTTCTTCCCGGTTGATCAAAAAGCCAACGTCCCCCAAAACGAAGACTGGTGGCATTCTGTAGCTGCCTTTAAGGTGAAAACGTTCTGGCAAGTCCTCTTTCAGCCAGACTGAGCAGTTCTTTAATCGTTTAGAGACAATTTCGTTGTAAATTTGCTTTGCGTTGTGCGCTTAAATGAAAAGAAACACGATACGTAACCATATTAAGGTATTTCGAAATAATCCCAGAGAAATTTGCGGAGCAAAGTCTTTCAGTTAAACAAAATGGTACGAGTTGCTGCACGGTTTTGTTATAAATCCTACAGTAGTGGCATTATTGGTAGGATCAGAACAGGCTCTGAATAACAATTCTTGATATATATATATATATATATATATATATATATATATCTTGGACAAGATCGTACGGTCAGTGTTTTGTGACATCTGTTTCTTAAAAATATTCAAACTTGTTATGCATTACTTTGAAGTCTTACGCTCGTTAGGCCAAAGTCCTACCAATCCGGGAGACAAATTTCCAAAATATTTGTCAATGGTGACGGCCTCATAAAGGTTGATTCTATTTTCGGGAGGTATTTGTGCCATTCCATGGTCCGCTGTCACGATCAGATTCACTTTCCCGTTGAGCTTCGGGTTGTCCTGGATGCGCTTTAATAGATAGCTGATCCCGTTGTTGACGTGTTCAATGGCATCAAGAATTTCTTTCGAGTCTGGACCATAACGATGGCCAGTGTGGTCGGGCTCATTGAAGTAGAAGACACAAAAGTTGAATTCGTCGCGAGTTATCCAGTCCATCACACGTTCAACGCGATATTCAAACGATGGATAATCACTGTACAGGCCGAAAGTCGCAAAGGGATATTTGCCGGCGTAAGCATTGTTACTACCCGGCCAGTAGAATATGCAACTCCGCTTGCCATGGCGTTGGTTTGTGATCCAGATCGGTTCATTCTTGTTGAAATTTAGGAAGACAGGATCAATCGAATCTGCAGGTACTCGTACGCTGAATTGACGTTTTATTTGAGGATCCCAAAATTGGTTATTATAAAGACCGTGATTTTCGACATAACGCCCAGTCGCGATGGAGAAGTGAGTCGAGAAGGTGACGGTTGGAAAGACATTCTTAACTTCAGCCCGAAAACCGGCAGCTGCGATCTCTTCGAAAGCACTCACATTCCTGCCGGCATTCTTAGCTACGTCGATGTAGTCCCATCTGAAACCATCTAGGGAGACGAGGATAACCTTGTGTGCAAGGCTCTTCGCGGCGAGCAAAAGGAACAGGAACAGAAGGATTGGACGGAGTGAATACATGTCTCCTGGTTGAACACGTTAGCGTACCAGTGTTTTATTGACTATATTTGGCGACTGTTATTTTCGTCAGACCACCAGACAGTCTTATCCTCATTCGTGAATGTGATTGGCTACATGTTCTCAGCTTTGGATTACACCAAGGCCGTTGTTTTGCATTTCCTATGCGTGTTCAAAGAGCTGAATTCAACGAAATTATGTGCATCAATTCCCTAATTTGCCTCAGCTCTTAGCTTAACAAAGTGTTCACCGATTTGCTCATTTAAAAGTTAAATATTATCAGAACCTGTCCCGCTTTGGAGTTTTGGAAGATAGGATTAAAGTTAAAGATGCTTTACAGAAAGCCAATTTACAAATTTTCTGCGCATTTTGTTCTCTTTAATTTATCACTTATAGCAAACGTTTCTATAGATACAATGAGTGACCGATCTCATGAAATGCTGGCTGAAATTCTGAAATGCGTTTTCCATTAGGAAGGATTACTTGATCGCGGTTGTAATACTGATTATCTCGCGATATAATCTTATCACATTTCGGACTCGGAAAAATGCTCGCTTTTGAATACACTGCTTTTCAATCTCCCGTAGAAATAGTACTCGGTAAAGAATGACTACTTAAGTGGCATGCATTTTTTCCATTGATTTTCGATGTTCTTGCAAATTCAAATATATCTTATAGAAACCATAAACAAAAATATGCTTTCTTTCAGTCGTTTGATAGAGAATCACGTCTCCTTTTTCTTTTATACTCAAGGAAGCAGCATAATTAAGTTTTAAAAAAGTTTTCCTATTGTCGAATACTTTGGAGCCTGGTCATTCGTTGTATTAGCGCTTAGTGATTTCAGTCTACAAGGTGCATGCTTTCCGCGTAAAGAAAATCACATATTTTTCTATGCCATTAAAAAGATATCATACACAGTTCCTGCTATTTTGCAATGGATGCGGACTATGTTGTACATTTCATGAGAAGCTGTGGTAAACGGCCAGGTACGACGCTATGTGAATGGACATTGCGCGGTCTTAAAAAATCTCATAATTAGAAACTTTTTAAAAACCTTATTATACTCCTTCTTTAGGCATAAAATATGAAAAAGATGTGATTCTCTAATAATTGACTGAAAGAAAGCCTATTTTTGTTTATGGTTTCTATAAGATATATTTGAATTTACAAGACCATCGAAAATCAATGGGAAAAATGCATGCTAATTAAGTAGTCATTCTTTAGCGAGTACGGTTTCTACGGGAGATTGAAAAACAGTGTATTCAAAAGCTGGCATTTTCCCAAGTCCGAAATGTTATAAGATTATGTCGCAAGCTAATCAGTATTACAACCGCGATCAAGTAATCTTTCCTAATCGAAAACGCATTTCAGAATTTCAGCTAACATTTCATGAGATCGATCACTTACTGTATTGCTGTTCTCTGAAAATCCCGGATACGGTCCATTGCAAACGCAGGCACAGAAAGCACGCTTTTTTGTTTCTTTTGAATGAAAAAATTAAGTAGAACAGCACTTCTTACTACAACTGACCGCGCTCGCGCAGCCTGTCATGTGGATTGCGGGCGCATGAACTCGATGTCTCACATGGATAATGAGAGTCATGTCGAGGCGTTGACAACTGGTATGTGTGAATGTGTGCATGTAACCCGCAACGAACTCTGAGGTGAGTAGATTCGCCTAAAGACCTTATTCATGTCACAGGTGCCAGAAAAACTCTTAAAACTTTTTCATTTGCAAACAACGCTAATTAACCCGAGGTGTACAGTTGATCCGCTCTGGAAAATTTCAAGACAACTAGAGATAAGCGCAATAACTGATCAACCTAAAGAACCCACCGGTTTGTGCCACAAAGCACAAAGCGCGTGAGAGTGCCAAAATAGCCACATTACGATACAATTCTTACCAGTTCACTTTTATTCCTATAGTCAAGTACGAAGACTCATTATGAAAACGCAGTTATCCGTCATTTCATAATCATTCAGAGGGTTCTTCTCGTGATCCCCACATATTCCAACACTACAACATAATCAGAAAGCATTTAATTATATTATTTCGACCTTTTTCGAAATGATAGCATCGTAATACGTCCGTTGGACGCGAGACCTCTGCCCAGTACCATACCAGTGACATTCGAGCTTGCCTAGAGCTCCAACAACGTTTTTATAAATATTCATGAGTCGTGACTTGGGGGTTGTTACTGATGACTAATATGTTTCTGTCGGTTTTAACCCAAATCATTTGGCTAGCTGTTACTCGTTTCAAGTAACATGTAATCACAGATTTACATCTGTAAATGAACACATTAGTGATAAAAATTTGCGTAATATGCTTGTTCTCTAATGAGGACTGTGAAGGATCTTCGTTTCAATATACCTTCATTAAGAAGGGTCTCTGAAAAGTTAGGATGAGGTGTGCAATTGAAAATTTTGATTGCGGTGACCAGTTACATAAATGTAAATTTGGGCTTCAGAGGATAGTAGCAAGAGATTGAATATGAGGTTTTCTTAAGTCCTGTAACTCAAGGCCAGAACGTTGGACTTTATGAGACTCAGTGAACAAAGAACCGGCTATCGAGTCCCAAAGTATGGCTGATTGACGATGGCTAAAATACCAGAATTGGCATTCCGGCCTGCAAGTGAACACCAAAATGTTACAGGAGGAGCGTGAACCATAACTTAGTCATTGAACGGGCTTCCCACGAACATGATGACGGCATTTCTTACGCCTGACTTTAGAAGACAGAAAACCTGTTAAACTATAAATTTGCGGTGTTACTTTTAACTCTCTCTTCGTTACAAAATTAGTCAGATTCGGTCCAAAATTTGATATGAATATTTGGGTTAAAATCTAGCATCTTGCACGGGTCAACCGCGGAACATTTGCACACTGTCGACAGGAAGTCGGTAAAATACAAATTCTAAATTACTAAGCATACTGTAACTAAACGGCTGACAATTTCATTTTAGTCTGGCCCCGTATCGGCCCCAGTTACATTAGTCAGACCTAGATTTATATGTGTCGGGGTAATATGAGTTTTTTTGATGTTGGAATACAGAGTGGTTTGAAGAAGGAGACACGATCGCCGGGACAAGAGCTTTATTAGCCTGACGTTTCGGATTCCTTCTCGAATCCATCATCAGAGACAAAAAAGCAGAAACGGGTCCTGATGATGGATTCAAGTAGGAATCCGAAACGCCAGGTTAATAAAGCTCTTGTCCCGGCGATCGCGTCTCCTTCTTCAAGAATATTTACTGGGACTCGTCTATTTGCTTCTATTGACAGAGTGAGTTTTTAGTACGTTAATGGTTAATTTTGTAAATGCACCACTGATGTAGTATGAAATTTTAACAGATAAAGGCGCAGCATCGCAGGCTCTTTCGCGTTCCCTGCTATATAAATTAGCATAATCATATCTCTCAGAACACGTCTGAAAACGAACTTTGACTGAGCTGTTCTGTGTTTGCATCATAAGCCATATTAAGCTACGATGCAGATTTATCTCATGACGAAGCATTTCCATGAGAACAGTGGTGAATATGTATGCTTAGTAGGAAGAAAACGGATAAAATATCGCCTTTAAAATAGCTCTGTCCTAATTTTATAGCTTCACATTTTAAAAACCCTCCGTTTGTTGCCAAAAATATGGAACACTGCTCTGTGGTAATTAATTGTTATTTTAAGCTTTCGAAAAAAGTTGATCTCGACTTACCAGGTCTTGCTTATTTTGGACACAGCACTGGTATTACTTTTTGTTTTCATACAAGGGGGATAAAAATGGCCAGTTCTGGCTTGTTAGCCGTCAACAGCCTCAAGTGCGGAACAACTGGAATTGAAGAATCCTCTTCCCACGATAACACATACATACATATGTTTATCCGTTCAGCTTGCGCACAGGGATTTAGGATCGACTGAGATAAATCAAGTTTTTGTTTATTCAAAGGTCTACGTACGAGCTAAGCAATGTAGCATTATGCTTACCCGCGAACTTTTGTAAACTCAGACCGAGAAAACCCTGCAATCAACGCACAATATACCTGTGATCGTCAGTTGTGAATAAACTGTTTTATTTCTTCAAAATATTCAGACCGAAAACAACTATGGTCCGTTGCGGCCACATAATGCTTGTTGGCACATATCTGATACTCTGTGGATTTTCCCTGCAGAGTGTTTTGGCAAGCTTTCATATGTGTTGTATGTTTCTTTATGTCATATTTTTATGTGGTGCCTTTTAGTTTGTGGTCAGTTAAGAACGCACAGTTAGAAAATATTCCTCCCAAGCATACAATCCAATGCAAATGACAACAATAATTATACTCAGGAAGCATACACTGGCGGTCTGTGCATTTGCCTGTGTTGCAAAATGAAGTTATAATTCCCCAATATTTAACCTTCTTGTAATGAAATATCAAAGTAACCTATCACCTTTTAATGTATCTGGCAAATCCAGGTGCATCTTCCTTTTGGTTCTTTTTTACACCGAAATTTCGCATGTACGTTAATCACATCGAAACTGCTACAGCAACAACGTTTTGGCATCTCCCGGTTTAGGTTGGAAATAAAAAACCTAAAACTGAGCGGTACTAGCATAAAGCCGATAGAACTGGAACCAGGCAAGTAGGACTAAATGACAACTCCTAGGATTATTTGAAAATATCCAGCCTAAAATTTCAAGAGAGCGAAGACCGTCTGTTATATGCTAATTACGTCCTGAGAGGGTTTCCACGACAAGTTACAAAATCGAACATATTTTAGCAAAGGCGAAATAGCCGCATTTAGATATGCGAGATTCCCACTTTGTCAGCGACCGGCAGTAACTACTTTCGGCAAATATTTCATTTTTCCAAAAAATTAACATGACGAACTATGAACATCACCGACCAACAAAAGTCTTGCAAACAATCAGAGCAACCCGTTGAGTCAGAAATCGGGAAATTTGTTTTCCGGGCAGCACATTTTTTTAGATTAATTATGCTCTACCTTTTTTCGCTGTCATTAAATTTCTC